ATCCTGCCTGTACACGTCTTCTGGACACTGGTAGGATGTCCCATTGCACCACTCTGGAAGATCACACTCATTTTCCTCTTTTCTGCACAGGAAGCCTGGTGGCCTGAATGTGCAGTTGTCACAGCAAAGCCCAAAAGCACAGGCGGCCCCAGGTGTCAGAGTGCAGTCTGGCTGACAGCAGGGATCTTTTGTACACGTCTGTAAGGAGCCACAGTCACAGTCTTCTCCTTCCTCAAGCACACTGTTCCCACAGCGTGTGTACGTGAAGATACTCTCTTTCTTTGGTAAAAGGTTCAAACAGGATTTCCTTCTAACAGTGTCCCAATAATAGGCGTAACTGCAGTTGCTAAATTTATGTATCAGTGATTTACTTGGGTACATTACGCACCTTTTACGCCCGCATGTGCATGTGTTATCATCATGTTTCATGCCCAAGTTATGACCAAGCTCATGTGACACAATAAATCCCAAACTATTTAAGTTATCATCCAGGATGCTGTCAACTCCACAGTTATGTTGTTGCTGACATACTGAGCCAACATAGGCTAAGCCAACGGTAATGCCAAAGTCTGCTTTTACAAAAATGTGTGCAACATCATGGGGCAAGCGGACATTGAAACCTGATAACTTCCAAACACAAAATTCACTCAGGAGGTCGTCTATGTCATCTGTTGCAAGGTAATTTTGTTCAGACCAGATTTCAATTCCAATTAAAACCACATGAACATCTATTGTACTTAAAATGTTATCTATTACATTGACAGTAAGGCATACTTCATCCTGCACTTTTGAGGTATTACTTTCATGATGAAGGTACCGATTGTGGTCCACCACCACTGCCAGTTCCAGAAAACGCCTGTGGGTCCACCAGCCTTCATACCCACTTTGCATCAAAGTGGGCTCAACACTCTCTTGGAACTTCAGTTGTCGTGCTATTTCTTCGTCTGTTAACCCACATCTCATGGGTGGGAGCTGTGTCTCCTCCTTGTCCATTCTATATAGCAGGTGTTCAAATGAGGTAGAAAGCCTTTTGGGCTGGATTTCATAAACAACGTTATTTATCTGTAGTATTCCTCGAAAGCCCCTCAAACATGTACTGAGGGCAACCAGGGATTCCGGGTCCCCCTCCACATGGCCCTGGTAGTAGCAGTCATTCTGGACAAAGGGCTGTTCCTGCAGGAGAGCATGCTGGTCGTCGTAGGTGAACACTGGGAAGTGTTGAGAGAACAAATGCTTGTTGACCTTCATGTGAAGAACGTGTTTCCGGCCGCCGACACGCAGGCTGTAGGAGAGCCAGCCTGGAGGCTTCACGCCCCTGCCAGTGTGTGTCACCCTCAAGGGTATGACCACTTCTGGAGGACCATGGGCGTTGGGCGTGTCCAACACAGGACGATCCAGAAAGCAACAGAAGCAGCTGCGACCAGAGTAGCAGTGGGAGAGTGGTCCTCACGTGTGCCAGGGCCTCACCCACAGCCATTCTGGCGCCAGGGTATGGAGCCACCGGTGAGAGCAGAAGTGTGCAGGGCAGGACGCATCACTGTATGCAGCACTGACCTTCAGTCTGTTTTCGGGCAGAGTCACACTGCCAGAGCCGCAGCACTAAAACAACAGGAAAAGCAGAGACGGGGTGGTTGTTAGGAGCAAAGCTAGACGGAAGGGAAGAGAAGGGCGTGGGTGAGATGGGTGAGCGCTGGGCTGACGCCGTGGCTCCGTGCGCTGCATGGCACTTGCTCGTAAGCAGTGGTGAGGCTGAGTGAGACTGTGCGGCTACAGAAGGATGGTGGTTGGCCTCGGCT